GAAACCAAGGCAACAGAACTTCTTGAGTCAAAATCATTGTGATTGGGGGTCCAGGTACCAAGACAAGCATGTTTATACATAAGACCTAAAAGACCTACTTGAGACAAGTGGAGAACTTCATAGGTTGATCAGGCATGCAATAGCATCCCCTGTCTCCATTGGATTGAATATTATTGCTAAGCATATCTATATGAACAGGAGAGCTACCATTGAGATGAAACATATACGTAAGTTGATGAACATAAAAAGATTGTTAAAGTTTTGATGAACCCTATTATAAACAAAACAAAAAATCTAACTGTTTTCTTTTATATCCTTAAAGAATTTATCCCATATGGAGAGAGGACAAAGGAAAAATCCATTCACTAAGTTGTGTGTCTCTTCTAGTTGATCAAATTTCATGACCTTGGGAATCTAACAACTGAAGAAAAGTAGTTACCTACCAAAATTTATACCCCTTTTTCTCTGAAGCTTTGGGTGTGTGTGTGTGTGTGGGGGGGGATTGAGTTCAAGATTAACAAAAGAATATAATTAAAGGCACACTCTGAGAACAGGATAGAAATATCCAAATTTTTCAAAGAAATTAAACAAAAATGCATAAAATACAATAAGTAAATAAATTTAAAAAAATCCTTTCAGAGTAAGTCAATCATTGTCATGGTGAGGGATTAAAAACACAATAAAAAAAATTTAACTAAAAAAAATTATTTTCACTTCCTATCACCTCCTGTTTCATTTATATCACACTTCATTCATCACAACTATTTTAACACTAACCCTCTACCTTAAATGGCTTTTGAGCCTCATATTGGGCAAACTTTAGTATTAAAAATAAAATGCAAACATTTGAGCCAAGAAAAAAAAAAAAAATCTGAAGGAAAAGTTTTACAAAATTTCATCTAATACAAGACTTGAGAATCACTCAAAGAAGAGAGTTAAGAATAAACAGTTTCAAACTGTAAAACTATTAAAATCCAAAACTTTTAATTAAGATGAGACTAGTAGTAGTAATAATAGCAGCCATTCTTAAAATTGCTGGTTGCTAAAACTTTGTGAATCAAGCAAAAAAATAAAAAAAAACTAACTAGGCATTAAAACTGTGACACTAAATATTGTCATGGTGAGGGATTAAAAGTAAAACAAAAGAACATGAAATTAAAGAAACTACAGAAATTCTTACTAAGTTAAAACTTAGATAATAAAAAAAAAAATCTGCAAGTACATTGAAACTGAGTGTTGATCTGCTCAAGACTGCTATAATATCAGAATACTTCAAGGGTGTGGCAGACCTTCTCATCCATTTTCCTAAGGGAAAGGAAATCTCTAACAGTAAATCTACAATCTTGGGCACACCATTGTAAACCCTCACAAGTGGGTACAGACCCATGTATCTCGTGCAACTGATGTGGGAAGACCCACAAGTCATGAAAAAGGAAAGAAAAATTCAAATTTTTGTTTAAAAAATCAAACCAACACACAGCTGTTTTTATATTTATCATGTTGAAACAGTAGTTCTATGCCAATCACTGAAGTTAAGCAAAATTGAGCCTGTTCAGTAATTAGATGGGTGATTGCTTGGGGATAACAGGTGCTGTAAGCTTGGGAATTTGTGGATGATGTAATGGATAGTTGTGTGGACTGAGAAATCAGAGATCCAAGTTTGAATTCCTGTCAAGTTTGTTACACTCGCACACATAAATACCCTTGAGAACGATAGGAATTCAACTCTTCTCCTCCCAGCTATGAGTTAAATAACAGGACTTGTATCTAGAAGTTCTTTCAACTCTTCCAAGATATCCTGAGCCAACACAAAAGAGAAAGTATCACCAAACTACATGACAATGCCAAATGAACTCTGGTGAGAGTTGAGTCATATGAGTGCACATTCTTCTGTATGTAGAGAGAGTGTTCTATGAAGATGATAGCTGTTACAGCATCTATACTGGCTCATTAGCAACTCAGGAAGAAGAAGAAAACAAAAACCTATCAAGGGGCAGATAATCTCCAAGTGTCAATAGCCAACTAACTGAAGGTGGTGCCTCAATAAAATCCCCATGAACAAAGCAACAGGAAAGCACTCCACTATCTCTCCTAAGAACAATCCTGACATTTCATAACTGACAAACATCAGATAACTTGGAATTGATTATTTGCCCAGAAAAGAAAGAGACAAGTGAAAGGTTCTGTTTGACTATCATTCAGCAATAACAATCTGGACATAGAATATTAAGACTCTAGACCAATGCAGAAAGTTAGGAAACGGAAAGGCTGAATATTAATATTCAAGTCAAACAAAATGGAAAAAAACAATGGGGATTTTGGTGCTATCTTTAGTAGACTGGTTCACTTATAAAAAATAGGGAAAAGTTCTCCAGAGAATAATTTTTGTAGATTGGCATTCATTAGAAATTCCTTGAGCAATAACATTTGTTAGAATTAAAAAAATATTGATTTTATTTTTTATCGACTTAAAAGTAGGGTTCTGTTTATAATACTGATACAATGTCAAATTGATCCTTAACTTTTACAGAGTTATCTGAACTTGTTTTTTATTTACAATTGTCAAGACTGAAACTGTGTTTACATTATTGATATCTGCATATTATTTTAATACTTTTATTACTTTATGTAAATTTTTGTCTCTTAATTAAATATATATATATATATATATATATATATATATATATGTGTGTGTGTGTATATAATATTTTTAATTAAAAGAAATTTTTTTGTAAAAAGAAAAAAAAAACACTTATACAGATATCAATAATGGGGAAAATGTATGACAAAGTGGGAAAAGTTTTCATGTAGTGGGTTTCACCCTTTAGAACTTTATTGGACTAAATTTATTACATTGGTGTGACTACACATGTACATGAATGAGGGATGCTGGGAATTTTAAACTAAATTTTTTATTTTTATATAATCTAGCCAATTTCATCTAGATTCTTTTTCTTTTCATCACTTTTGTCATTAGATATCCCACACTGTGATAATAAAAGATCTACCAGATATGAAGATATCAATATTGTAAGCACAGTTTCAAACTTGACATTTGTAAATAAAAACATAGTTCAGATAACACTCAGTGATCAGCTTTACACTGCATTAATATTGTGAAGAAAATCTTTGTTTATAAATTGATAAAAAAGATCAGTATTTTTTCAATTCTGACATATGTTGCGGCAAAGCAAGGTCTAATTTATACTAATCTACAAAAATTATTTCCATACAAGTTTTTCTTTTTTTTACAAGTCGACCATTTACTTAAGTAGTGATGGTGATTTTATAAGTGCCAACCACAAAATCATTTTTGCAGGCAGAGAGAAAGATGAGAATCCGACTGATATTAGATAAAGACAATAGGAAGTACTTTCTAGAATGCCACCTTTTGGTGAAACTGAAAAGGAAGCAATTCAATACGGTGATCATATTGGCATCTGCATCCACATCAGAAAGCACTAAAGAAGAAACAGAAGAAATATATATATATATATATATATAATATATATATATATATATTACAGCACACAAAATGCCAAATGCCAGAACAAGTCACAAGAAATTATTATCATGATAAATACAAAAGTAGGAAGGAAACAAATTAGGAAAATGGTTGATAAGTATGGACTTGGATCATGTAACAAATGCAGAGAAAAATGGGTTCATTGGTGCACAGTGAATGGCTAAGTTATAACCAACATTTGATTTCAAGAACAGCCAAGATGCTTGTGGATATGAAGAAGATAAGCAAGAGAAATAGTAAAAAAGAAAAAAAACGAAATCAGATTTATAAACCAAGCACTGGCTGCAGAAGTAATTAGTTTCCGGTCATATGCAAACTAAAGTTAAAACTACAAATATGCCTAAAAACTACATTAAAAAAAAAAAATGGCAAAACAGTACAAAAAACTCCACAGTGATTCCATTTGCATATAAGAACAAATATAAAACTTTTTGAAGATTTCACAGATTCCAAATGAAATGCTTTATGAAACATTAGTGATAAAAGGAAAAGAAGTTTGTATCTGAATTTCTGGGCTGAGGAGTTATTACTTACACTATTTACATGTAGACTATTGTCTTCATTTTTGTTGTTGTTATCACAACATTTTGGCTGTTGTGCCCACCAACCTTCATCGGGTGTATGTCGATTTGGATAAACTACAGGAAATTTCAAACTGAACCCTTTATTTAATCTACAGTTATAGATTGTTCTCCTTCCATTGCCCATGTCTAAGGATATCTTGTCTAGTTCTTTTTCATACTGCTCAGAACTATCAAGAAAAGTGAAAGCCATGATTGTCCGTGTCCTGAAGGGACATGGCCTATAGAAGAAGAAAAATGATGCTAAAATCTTGATTGTACACTTAGCACTTGAATATAATATTAATGATTTCTTTTTTTTTTTAAAAAAAGTCCAAGTAATAGTTGTGTTTTACCAGAAAACTTCTGCAATTGTCTTCAGAAGTCTCTTGGCAGAGTAGAAAAAGGTAAGCGCCATTCACTGGGCTATGACAACAATACCGGGGCTCCAAAGTAGAATTTGATCAAATTTTCCAATTTCTAATCTGACGTTTGTTTAAACAAGTTTCCAATCTGAAAGTTGGACATTGAAAATTAACAGTGACTATAACTGGAAAAAAATGTAAATCTTAACAATAGCAATAGTCGTATTTTTAATGACTTCAGTTATTAGAGAAAAGTAATTTTCAATTTTTAGAAATATCTTTAGCTTACTGGGTAAGCATGCTTGGAAAGAAAAAAAAAACTACCAAGAATAAAGATATCAAATGATGGCATTGTTTTCATTTGTGGAAAGCATAGAAACATTGAATAGAAATTAAAACAGGAAAGCGTTAATGGAAAAGGAAGTTTTTTTTCATTGCAAAGATAGTTTGAGTTTGTTCAACTTAAAATGTCAGTTAAGATTTGTAATTTTGAGCTTCACCTCACACCCACACTTTAAACCAGAGCTAAAGAAACTGCTTTTAAAGGCGATGATCTTGAGTTAGAAAAAAAAATACCTGAAGCATACCTCCTGATGAACAACCAATTTTGTTAATACATTTTTTTTCTTGGCCCCAAAATTCACATATTTTATTTCACAAAATAATTTTTTTTAAAATTACAAGAGTTCAAAATGAATAAATGACAATTTAACTGCTTGAAATTTTTCATTCCAAGTGGATTTTTTTTAAGAATTGAAAATTAAGTTTTCCTCTATACTGTCATGATTTAAATATAAAGTTATGAAAAAGACCTTTAATTTTAAGTTTCTTTGGGTATGTCTGTGTGAGCATGTTTGCATATATATATATATATATATATATATATATATATATATATTGTGTATTTTGGCAGCAATCCATCTTTTATACAAGTTTCATTAAAAATGGCTGATAAGGTACTGCAGTTATTTTATTTAATTTTTCTTGTTTTCTTACAATTTTCATTTTTTCTGGACATAAATTATGTAGAAAATACTCAGGTATAGAGAACATTCAGTCAATTTCTACATAATTTATGTCCAGAAGAGTAGAAAATTATAAGAACACAAGAAAAATTAAATAAAAAACTTAACCGCAGTACTTTGTCAATCAGTTTTAATTAAACTTGTAAATATTTTACAAATAAATGAAATTCAAAAAATACCCCATCTGAATGACCATTTTGCTCTGCAGGGGTTTACTTACCCACAGATTTTTTACATACATATATATATATATATATATATATATATATATATATATATGAGAGAGAGTAAAATTTTCAGTTAGAATATATCTGTAAAAGGACAATATGAATAAAGATAAAGTTTTGAAAAAAAATAACCTTTTTCCTCTTGTATACCTCTATTTGTCTGTCTGTCTCTCTCTCTCTCTCTCTATATATATATATATATATATATATATATTGAGAGAGAGAGGCTAGCCAATCCCTGTTGCAAATGCCTGCTCAGGCACATTTCTGTTAAATATTTACAGAATCCACTTGTGGTTTATACTGCAACTATGTAGACCTTAGTTACAGTCATCTAGTAAAACCAACAGTTTGAACAATCGCAGTACACTCAAACCTTCAGTTATGATATCTTATGACTTTGTTAGCATGACCATTAATGGACTCCAAACAGTATCGTTTACACAATTTTACCCACAAATCTTGAGCCAGCCCATGCATGTTGGGATTCATAACATTGAGATGTCATCTCCGTAGGTCTCATGGTTGGAATGCAAACATTCTAACCTCTTGACCATGATGGTTACATTCAACAAGTTGGCAACCAATATATATGCAAATATATGAAGAAATATAGTTTTAAGATGTGCTATATTTATGGGATAAAGTGCTCAATATCAGAGATAGAGCGTATGTAAATATAAAAGTGAACATTGAAGTCAACACTCAGAGGTGACATGCTGTTTCATGCTGGACACAATCATCATGCCACCTGTTCACTTTTATATTTATATGCAAATAATATTTTATATATATATAATGTGTGTGTATTTGTTTGTGTATGTGCTTGTATTAATCACACAAATTTTCCTATACTCATATTTGTGTTTTTAAGTTGTTTTTAATTCTTATTATTTGAGTTTTATTTTTAACAAATATTTTTTTTCATTTTATATCATAAATAATGTCATTTTCAAAATAAAATTAAAAAGAAATTCACTTGAAATTTGACGTTTTGTAGGGCTGGCTTCAAACTTTTAACAGACATGAATTGGGTAGCTCATCTCATCATTTTTCTCTCTTTTGATTGGAACAAATTTCTGTTTAGTGTCTTAAAATGCTTATAGACCTTGAAAAATCCAGATCCACTTCATAACATTTGAAGAGTGCCACCATAACTGACTGAGACTCAAAGGGTAGTAGACATTTTTTATCTTGTAAGATAATAGTACAGGCTGTCCATAAAGTTCGTGTGCACGTTAAAAGATTTATAACTTTATTTGTATTTGCGATAGAAATAATTTGTAAAAAGGATTAGAAAGAAGTAAATCTATATTTTTTAATGCTTTATTGAAATTTTATTTACATTTCCACATGTCCTCCATCATTAGCAATACAAAGGGTAATATGATTTTGCAGTTTACAGAAAACATTTGCCAACTGATTTACAGTAATGCTTGAATCACATTAGTCATTTTAGCTATACTTAAAACTAAGTACATTAAACTTTATAGCATTTTTTTTACCGATTATTTCTATCACAAATAAAAATAAAGTTATAAATTTTTTAAAGTGCACGCGAACTTTATGGACACCCTGTAGTAACCTGTTTAGTTCACATTCAGTACTTTTGTGGTGAGACTAGAGGGACCTCTCCAGAGCATAGGCCTTGGTGGTGGTGTATGAAGGCCATCCACTGCCCAAACAACATGGCTGTATTGAATAACAAGGGCATTACATTTGGGGCTGGTTTGGCTACAAGAGTTGCTAAGAAGGTTGTCAAAGTTGACAGGTAGCTATCATCGGGGCACCACTTTGGATTTTCTGTTTGGATTTATTTTCAGTTTTTTTTTGTTCTGTGTTTGTATATGACCACAAGGCAGTGGAGGTTTAAAATCAGTTTTTTCCTTCCCCTAGATGGACTGCCTCACCAAGTTGATGAGCTCCATCAGACAGTGTGCATTAATCCCAGAATTACATCATAAAAGAAAATCCAAATGCCGGAAAAATAAGGTAGAAAATAATAGGAAAGCAGAAAAGTAGTTTCAGAGTGAAGGGAGGGAAATTTTAAATGATTTGAAACAAAACTCATATTCTTCTCTCTTCTCAATCACACAGACTTCTGCCCTTCATCTGACTGAGAAATCGAAAGCCTTCACTCTCACTTGTAATGGGTTTAGTTTCCTTTTTTTGTTCTGTCTTTTTGCAGGATCTTATATCCTTTTTTTTCTCTTCAACTTTCATATTTTTTATTTTTTTTTTTTTTTTTAAATTCCTTCTTTTCAACATTTTTGCCACAGAATTATCCTTCCTCTCAGCTTTGCTACACCTATTTTTCTTATATTCATCCATTTTTCATTTTCCATTCTTTATTCTTCCTGCATTCATTTTACATTCTCTCCCCCCACACTCTCCTTTCTTTTTGTGCTTTTCCCCATGCACACATTTCTTGCTCTCTCTCACTTCCTCCTTCCATGCACACATTTCTTTCCCCCTCTGTCTCCTCCCATGCTCTGTTTCTTTCTCACTCCTTCCAGGCTCTGTTTCTTGCACTCTCTCTCTCTCCTTCCATGTTCTGTTTCTTGCTCTTTCTCTCCTTCATTGCCCTGTTTCACATACTCTCTCTCTCCTTCAGTGCTCCATTTCTTGCTCTCCCTCTCTCTCCTTCAGTGCTCCATTTCTTGCTCTCTCTCTCACTCTCCTTCTCTTTTCTCTCTCCCACCAAACACAGTTTCCCATACTTTTTCTCTCCCACCATACACAATTTTTCTTTTTCTGTCCCTTTATACACAATCTCTCTCTCTCTCTTTTTCTCACTCTCCATACACAATTTCTCTCTCTTTTTCTCCTCTTTTACACAATTTACACAATTTCTCTCTCTTTTTTCTCTCTTTTCTCCTTTACACAATTTCTCTCTCTTTTTCTCACTCTCCATACACAATTTCTCTCTCTTTTTCTCACTCTCCATACACAATTTCTCTCTCTTTTTCTCACTCTCCATACACAATTTCTCTCTCTTTTTCTCACTCTCCATACACAATTTCTCTCTCTTTTTCTCACTCTCCATACACAATTTCTCTCTCTTTTTCTCTCTCATTACACAATTTTCTCTCTCTTTTCTCCTCTCCTTTACAATTTCTCTCTCTTTTTCTCACTCTCCATACACAATTTCTCTCTCTTTTTCTCACTCTCCATACAGTTTCCCCTCTCATTTTCTCTCCTTTCATATACAATGTTTCTTCTTTTCCCTCCTTGCATACAAAGTTTCTCTCCATTTTGTCTCCCTCCATCAACAGTTTCTCTCCATTATTTCTCTCCTTCAGTACCCCATTTCTCTTTTTCTCTCCTTACATACACAATTGCTCTTTATTTTTCTCTCCATCCATACGTAATTTCACTCTTTTCTCCCCTTCCATACACAGTTTCTCTCTCTTTTCTCCCCTTCCATACAGTTTCTCTCTCTTTTCTCCCCTTCCATACAGTTTCTCTCTCTTTTCTCCCCTTCCATACAGTTTCTCTCTCTTTTCTCCCCTTCCATACAGTTTCTCTCTCTTTTCTCCCCTTCCATACAGTTTTCTCTCTTTTCTCCCCTTCCATACAGTTTCTCTCTTTTCTCCCCTTCCATACAGTTTCTCTCTCTTTTCTCCCCTTCCATACACAGTTTCTCTCTCTTTTCTCCCCTTCCATAGAGTTTCTCTCTCTTTTCTCCCCTTCCATACAGTTTCTCTCTCTTTTCTCCCCTTCCATACAGTTTCTCTCTCTTTTCTCCCCTTCCATACACAGTTTCTCTCTCTTTTCTCCCCTTCCATACACAGGTTCTCTCTCTTTTCTCCCCTTCCATACACAGTTTCTCTCTCTCTCTTTTCTCCCCTTCCATATTCAATTTTTCTCTCTCTTTTCTCCCCTTCCATATTCAATTTCTCTCTTTTCTCCCCTTCCATATTCAATTTTTCTCTCTTTTCTCCCCTTCCATATTCAATTTTTCTCTCTTTTCTCCCTTCCATACTTTCAAGTTCTCTCTCTCTTTTCTCCCCTTCCATATTCAATTTTTTTTCTCTCTTTTCTCCCTTCCATATTCAATTTTCTCTCTTTCTCCCCTTCCATATTCAATTTTTTCTTTTCCCCTTCCATATTCAATTTTTTCTCTTTTCTCCCCTTCCATATTTCTTTTTCTCCCTTTTTCCCCTTCCATATTCAATTTTTCTCTTTTTTTCCAATTTTCCATATTCAATTTTTTCTCTTTTTCTCCCCTTCCATATTCAATTTTCTCTCTTTTCTCTCTTTTTCCATATTCAATTTTTTCTCTTTTTTCTCCCTTCCATATTCAATTTTTTTCTTTTTTTTCTTTTTCTCCCCTTCAATTTTTCTCTTTTTTCTCCCCTTCAATTTTTCTCTCTTTTTTCCCTTCAATTTTTTCTCTTTTTTTCCCCTTCAATTTTTTCTCTTTTTTTCTCCCCTTCAATTTTTCTCTCTTTTTTCTCCCCTTCAATTTTTCTCTCTTTTTTCTCCCCTTCAATTTTTCTCTCTTTTTTCTCCCCTTCAATTTTTCTCTCTTTTTTCTCCCCTTCAATTTTTCTCTCTTTTTTCTCCCCTTCAATTTTCTCTCTTTTTTCCCCTTCAATTTTCTCTCTTTTTCTCCCCTTCAATTTTTTCTCTTTTTCTCCCCTTCAATTTTTTCTCTTTTTTTCCCCTTCATTTTTTTCTCCCTTCATTTTTTTCTTTTTTCTTCTTTTCTCCTTCAATTTTTTCTCTTTTCTCTCCTTCAATTTTTCTCTTTTCTCTCCTTCAATTTTTCTCTTTTCTCTCCTTCAATTTTTCTCTTTTCTCTCCTTCAATTTTTCTCTTTTCTCTCCTTCAATTTTTCTCTTTTCTCTCCTTCAATTTTTCTCTCTCTCTCTCTTTCTCTCCTTCAATTTTTCTCTCTCTCTCTCTTTCTCTCCTTCAATTTTTCTCTCTCTCTCTCTTTCTCTCCTTCAATTTTTCTCTTTCTCTCCTTCAATTTTTCTCTTTCTCTCCTTCAATTTTTCTCTTTCTCTCCTTCAATTTTTCTCTTTCTCTCCTTCAATTTTTCTCTTTCTCTCCTTCAATTTTTCTCTTTCTCTCCTTCAATTTTTCTCTCTCTCTCCTTCAATTTTTCTCTCTCTCTCTTTCTCTCCTTCAATTTTTCTCTCTCTCTCTTTCTCTATGGTGTTTCTTTCACTCCTTCTGTATGCCCTTTCTCTCTACCTCATTTTCTTTTCTCTCATATGTTTTTTCTTTCCCTTCCACTCACCATATTTCTCTTTTTCCCTTTCTTTACCCCTCGCCCCATAATCATTTCTCTTGCTCTCTTTTCCTTTCATCCCCTATGCTGTTTTCCTCTCTTTTTTTTTTTTATCTTCTCCTCTACGTCATTTCTCGTTTTCATTTTATCTCCTCCTGCATTGTTTCTCTCTCTTTTTGTCTCATCCTCTATCATTCTTCTCCTTCTCTTTTCCTACTTCTGATTCATTTTTTCCTCTGTCTTACTCTTTTTCTCTCTTCCACTGCAGTGTTTGTCTCACTACACCATTTTTTTTCTCTCTCTCCTCCCCTGTGTCGTTTTTCTCTCGCTCTCTCTCCTCCCCTGTGTCGTTTTTCTCTCGCTCTCTCTCCTCCCCTGTGTCGTTTTCCTCTCGCTCTCTCTCCTCCCCCGCGCCGTTTTTTTCTCTCTCTCTCTCGCCTCCACTGCATATTTTTCCCCTTTCTTTCTTGTCACCACTGCACCGTTGTTTTTCTTTCTCTCCTATGCCATTTCTCTTTCCTTCCCTTATCTTTTTTGTTACTTATTTGAATCCCTTTGTTAATTTTCTCTGTCTCTCTCTTCTTTCTCCATTCTTTTCCTCCTAGTATCCCATAATTTTCAATCCTTGAACATTCCTCCCCTCCAACACCCAATGACATTTCCATTTTTTCTCCTTCCCTGATTTCTGATTCCTAGGGTCACCAAGTATGAGAGAACGTAACCATCTCCCACCATCTACCTTTCCCCACCCTTTTGCTGACATTGCAATCTTTTGAAACAATTCTAACAAGACGCCACAGATACCACACACACACGCGTGCACCCAAACGAAGCACTTGGCATTGTCCTGTTGACGCTATGTCTGCTGTCTGTAAACATTTTTCCGTACAGCCTCACTCGTGCACTGATGACGAACTTCATCATTTTTGCCAACCACTTTCTTTAACATTTTCTTTCTTTCCTGCATACTCTGCATTTTGATTCTAGAATAGCTATTCATCCTCACAATAAACTCCCCCCCCCCTCACCGATCAGGCTTCGTATGCGTAGGGTGTAGGACAGATGGAATGTACTGAAAAATCCCTATCTTCTGTTCACTCGGTTTTGCTTATATCATTCTATTGGCTTTTCAAAATCATTTTTAGCTTCTTTCATTGTTATTTTTCTTTCATCTTCATTCTAATTTCTTTTCTTTTTTTTTATTGCTTTCCTTTTTTTTCTTTACATTGTGTTTTTTTCCACCTGATTTATTTTTAGGTTTTTACTTTTTTCTCATTCTCTCACTTTGTTCTTCTCTACCCCACACTTTTGCCTCACTTTGTTCTTCTCCCCCCTCCCACTTTTGCCTCCTTTGTTCTTCTCCCCCCTCCCACTTTTGCCTCACTTTGTTCTTCTCCCCCCTCCCACTTTTGCCTCCTTTGTTCTTCTCCCCCCCCCACTTTTTGCCTCACTTTGTTCTTCTCCCCCCTCCCCTTTTGCCTCACTTTCTTCTTCTCCCCCCTCCCACTTTTGCCTCACTTTCTTTTCTTCTCCCCCCTCCCACTTTTGCCTCACTTTGTTCTTCTCCCCCCTCCCACTTTTGCCTCACTTTGTTCTTCTCCCCCCTCCCACTTTTGCCTCACTTTCTTCTTCTCCCCCCTCCCACTTTTGCCTCACTTTCTTCTTCTCCCCCCTCCCACTTTTTTGCCTCCTTTCTTCTTCTCCCCCCCCACTTTTGCCTCACTTTCTTCTTCTCCCCCCTCCCACTTTTGCCTCACTTTCTTCTTCTCCCCCCCCCCACTTTTGCCTCCTTTCTTCTTCTCCCCCTTACTTATGCTTTACTTTTTGTTCCTTCCTTCCCCCCCTTTGGTCTCCTCTGCTCTCCCAACACTGGTCTCATTCTGTTTTTTTCCCCCCTCTGATGTCGCTCAGCCTCCCCCCTTTGATGTCCCGCTGCTCTTTCCTCTCCTCTTCCCCAGTCTCGCTCTGCCCCCCCCTCCCCGTCTCCTCTGCCCCCCCTCCCCGTCTCCTCTGCCCCCCCTCCCCGTCTCCTTTGCTCCCCCCTCCCGTCTCGCTCTGCTCTTTCCTTCCCCCCCTTGGTCTCGCTCTGCTCTTTCCTTCCCCCCCTTGGTCTCGCTCTGCTCTTTCCTTCCCCCTTGGTCTCGCTCTGCTCTTTCCCTTCCCCCCTTGGTCTCGCTCTGCTCTTTCCCTCACTCCCTTTTGTCTCGCTCTGCCCTTTCCCTCACTCCCTTTTGTCTCGCTCTGCTCTTTCCCTCACTCCCTTTTGTCTCGCTCTGCTCTTTCCCTCACTCCCTTTTGTCTCGCTCTGCTCTTTCGTTCCCCTATTTCATCTCACTCTATTCTTTCCTTCTCCACTTCTGTATCACTTAGCTCCTCCCCTTTTGTCACACTCTTTCTTTCTCCTCTTTGGTCTCACTTTCTTCTCCCTCTTCATTTTTTTTTTTTTTTTTTTTTTTTTTTTTTTTTTTTTTTTTTTTTTCATTTGCACCCCAACCATTCATGTTGTTTCAGGTTTCATTCTCTATTCATTATAAAATCTTTCAGAATTCCTTTAAGTCTCTTGTTATTAACAGTGAAAAGGAGGAAACTGTTAGATGAAAATTGTAATTGAACACGTAAGCCCAGACTTTATAAACCCTTTGAGAATCATCTTAACACAGAGAAGCAAAGAAAAATATTTAAAAGGTTAACCTAAAATACGCAACCCCAAATGTATTTTTAAACATTTAAAGCTGACATATGAAAGGCATTCTAATTCAATTTTACTGACCTGAAATTAATATCAAAATTTCTGTAAAACAAGAATTGATGATCTTTGAGTTGTTGGAAAATTGAATCTCAAGGGAATGCCATGATTTCAATTTATAGGCTCGTTTATATTTTAGTTGTATTTTCTTTGCATAGTTGAAACTACTACAGATGTAGCTAATAGCATTGAAATTGCAGCAATTCCATTTATTATACATTTTCCTCTAAAAACATCCCCAACTTCAAAGAAAAGATAATCTTTTTTATAAAAACAGCAAAAAAACTAATGTAAATGTCACTCATATTTCAATATATTTTTTACGTTATTTATTTGGCATTTAGCTAATGTTTAGAATATTTTTTTTTATGTTTAAAGTATTTTCTTATATATGATTATTCTTATTTATTTTTTTGATTGAGAAAGCCTGATCAGATTTTGAGAGGTTTTGTACCCAAACATATTATTTTTTTTTGCCTTAAATTACTAAGAGCGGAATTGTTTTTGTTTTCTGTTTTTTTTTTGTTGAAAGTTTCACATCAAGGTTTGGTGAAACATTTTTCATGCTTTCATCTAAAAAGTGAATAAAATAATGAACAATATCAGTCTGAAAAATATTTCAGTTTTCATTAATAAATGCTGACGAGTATGAAAAATATTAACAAGAAGGCATCATCAAATTTTAAAGCCAAGTTTGGTCATTTATTTTTATGCATTGACATCATTCAAAACATTTGGAGTTTGTAATTGAAAAAAAAAAACTTTGTAAATATATTGGGTACTGCAGTACAAGATGATTATATTTGTCTCTTTTATTGATTTCCTCAACATTCAGTATTTTGTAAAAATATATGGGGTACTGTAGTACAAGATGATTAAATCTGTCTCTTTTATTGATTTCCTCAACATTCGATACTTTGTAAAAATATATGGGGTACTGTAGTACAAGATGATTAAATCGGTCTTTTTTATTGATTTCCTCAACATTCAATACTTTGTAAAAATGTATGGGGTACTGTAGTACAAGATGATTAAATCGGTCTATTTTATTGATTTCCTCAACATTCAATACTTTGTAAAAATGTATGGGGTACTGTAGTACAAGATGATTAAATCGGTCTCTTTTATTGATTTCTCAACATTCAATACTTTGTAAAAATGTATGGGGTACTGTAGTACAAGATGATTAAATCGGTTTCTTTTATTGATTTCTCAACATTCAATACTTTGTAAAAATGTATGGGGTACTGTAGTACAAGATGATTAAATCGGTCTCTTTTATTGATTTCCTCAACATTCAGTATTTTGTAAAAATGTATGGGGTACTGTAGTACAAGATGATTAAATCGGTCTCTTTTATTGATTTCCTCAACATTCAATACTTTGTAAAAATATATGGGGTACTGTAGTACAAGATGCTTAAATCACTTTTGTTCATAATACTTTTTTCTTTACAACTGTCGATTTAGAAAACATCAAATTATGTGTGTTTGCATTGGCCTGTGTGTGTACATGTGTGAATTTTGATTTCAATAAATTCTGTTCAAATACAAATATAGGCCCTTTTTTTATATGCCATGTTCTTTTAAGATGTGGTCAGTCATGCATCTCCATAATTGCCTTGATATACTACTTGCCTTCTACAAACTGTCTTTATCATCATGATCCTTATTTGGCTTAATCATCTTTTAGTCTCAATAAATTAGTTACTTGTTTTCCTCCCAGCTTTTCTTGCTTTCACTCTGCCATATAAAGTTTAAATTCTCCATGCCTCCTTTCCTCATTATGTGTCCCTGAAATTTCAGCTGTCTCTTTCTAATTAGTGGCATCAGTCTCCCTGTAGTTTTTTTTCCTTTTAAAATTTATTATTCAAATTTCTTATTCATCAGTAGAATCACATGTCTGTCACTTCAAATCACTTTATCTGTGAAGAGATTGTTCAACACTTTAAAAAAAAAAAAAAAATCAGTTCACTGCAACCAAGGTGATGAAGCCACTAAGATTCAAGCTGTTACTGAGTGTGAAAAAGTTTGTGAATAACCATTATTAAGGAGTGGGGAGAGACAATAAAAGACCCGGATTTAAGGTGATAGATGATGACAACTGATATTTCATTTCAATCTTTGAAGATCAAAGTTGACTAGAATGCAAGAAGCTAGAAAAGAATTTCACAAGTGAGAAACTATGAGAGAAGAAACTGATAGCATAGAACTTATGGTTATAGTTAGTCATTTCAAGTGTAAAATGATGTGACCTAACTGTCAATTCAGTACTGCACTTAAATTGGTAAAGTTGAAGTAATAAAGAGGAAAGCTCGTCAGAAATATTACCATGAAAAATTTATAGAAAAGTCGCAGGAAAGTTACGTTATGGCAGTAAGAAAGTTACTCTGAAGCTGAGATGCCAGGTTAAAACCAACAGCATTGCAGATTCTTTGGATTTTTTTTTTCATAGATCTCTAAATACATAGCAAAGGCATGAGACCAGATATGGCAGCAATATTCAATGGATAGAAGAATGGTAGAATTATATATAAGATTCTGGTGAGAAAAATTGTCTAGAACAACTCAGTGAACCAATTTTCTGAACAGCAGGCCAAGCATTTGATTCAATATAATCATTCAACTTCATGTCAGTGGAAAACATTAACCCAAGAAGGCATAATGAGTCTCTCTCCTGGAGGTTAGCTACAGCCATGCTGATGGAAGGCAAAAAAGATTCTCTAAGATGACTAAAAGAGAGCAGTTTCGTTTTGGAAGCATTAAAATTAACAAGTCATTTATTGCTGCAGTTCATAACAGATTGAAGAGTAGTTATTCAAGACAACTTTCATTTTATGATTTTATAAGAAAGACTGAATTAAATAAAGAATTCAGCCAAAAATACCATAACCTCTCAACTTGTGAAGAAGACCAACCCTTAGTCTTTGCCCATTTAAACAAGACAAAAGACAAAAAAATTAATTAAAATGTGCTCGTGTCGTTATACCAACATAAACATCACTTTAGTCCAATGATGTCCATTGTCCAATGGATGTCATTGGGTGACACTATGAAACATATCACCCAAAATTGTTTTACAATTTCTTTTTAATTTTCCTAACATTTTCTGATATATCAAAAATTTTATATATCATTTTCTTGCAGACATAAATATATTGTTATAAAAATGAATGATTGTGATGAATTACCTGAAGCTAAATGAGCACAATGCTTCATGTGCTTTGCATGTAAACAACCATTTGCAATGTGGAAAGTGTGTGAGTGCAATCTCTATAATATCGTCGGCTGATAAATATTCATGAGTTCGACATGTGTTTAAGGATTTGCTTAAAGAGGCAGACAGATTGCTGCTGGAATGCATTGAGAGAACAGTGGACTGTGCATCCCCTAATATATAGTATTGAAGTTACTTTTCTTTTCTCAAGCATCAAACCTATTTTGATCTCTCTCTCTTCCTCCCTGTCACAGATTCAACCTTCTTGCAGGAATGATGCTATCTAAGTACTTCATTACACAATGGAAAGATACCTCCAATTTTTAAATTTCAACTGCTTTTTGTTGCTTAGTGTTTTCTTTATTTTCTAGTTGCAATGATTTGCTAGTTACTTGCTGTTAGTGATATTAGTGAAATTTTTATAAGATGTTTGATATATTTAAGTATTTTGGTAGTAATTTATTTTATATATGGCATGTTATAATCTGTTTGCTAGTTTCAATATAGATACCATTAAAAATATCAACATGCTTTTGCTTTCTCGTTTACTTTTCAGGTAGTTACAACTTTTTGAGCAGAAATAGCTTTATTTGAATAACTAAGCAATTAAATTATAACATTTATTTATTAAAATTTATTAAGAAAATTTAAAAAGCAATCATTTATAAAGACCACAAAAGACTAAATTGGAAATAAAACACTTTTTAAAGTGATTTTTAAAGCTGAATATGTGGATGAATTATGACCGTTGTGCAAGATATAAGATACATACTGCTAATTATAATTGATAAAACTAGATTTATTTGATGTCACAATATTTGCAGAAAGACACAACCAACTTTAATGGCTTTTCAGGGCTTTGAGCAGACATACATACAAACTTTAAGTTCTATATGTTAGATGAACATCACTCAAACAAATATATCTAAAATAATTTTTTTTATTTTGTGTGCTTTTTTTTTGTTTTTTTTGTTTTGTTTTTTTTAATCAAAATCTTTTCCACTTGATAAGTGTTTCTTGTTATCAAAAGATCATTAGTTATTTTGGGAAAATAAATGATCCATTCATAAAACATCTTTTTTTGTTTTTTTTTTTCCTTTGGGAGTGACGACAGATGTATTGCTTATAAAAAAAAGAAAAGTGATTTGAACTGAGGAAAAAATTGGACTTCTAAATGGAAACATTTTGTTAAACAGCTGAAATTAGGTTTTTGTTTTGTCCTTTTCAAATTTGTGTAATTCTAGTCTCTATTAATCTCCTTTAACAAGCTAATCGAAAAAAAAGAAACGATTCTTTAAAAACAGTTTTTCTTTTCTTTTTTTTGATTGGCTAAGAATAGATCATAGTTTTTACAATCTGGAACTATTCTTCATCAAGAAGTCCTTTTCCACACACACAAGAAAAGATTTCATTGTAAGTCATTACAGCTACAAACTGGAGCACTTTTCACAATTTAACTATATTGATTTCCTTTCTAAAATCTGAGTGCATTTTTTCTTTACGACAGCACATGAGTACAAAAAAAAATTAATCCATAAAATGCTACCTTTTCATTGAATCAAACAAAATATTTCTAAGCTGCATTTCTGCTCACATAATTGTCTGTGTCTTAATTGGCCAACTTCAGAGTTAATGACTTTTGTTAGCAAGTAGCTTTTTCTCTTGGAGTCTCTTCATGTTAAATTCATCACAATGCAATTTTCTTTATAACTCTAAAGGTAAATAAGTCAGATGCAGACATGTATTCACAATAACTAATGATTTTACAATAAAACTTTTTTAACTCATTAATGTACATCAGTCCATTTTGGTGACTATGTGAAGTAATCATTTATAGTTAGAAACCGATAAATAATACCAGATCTTTGTAAATGAATAATACAGGATTGTTATATTAGATTATGCTTAATACTGGATTTTTATGGTAGGCATCACCATCTTTGAACAACATAAATGGACACTGGATTATTGCCAGATGAAACAACTGTATGAGAAGGAAAACAACAAATTATATGTATAATTGCATTGTAAATGATTTTACTATAGAAATATATTGAAAAATATGAAGAAAGGAATTAATGCAAGCATTACTGATACAATTGAATATTACAGGTGTAATATCTGTCTATATTTCTGAGATGAGGTATTATATACACTATTTACATTATTCTGGCTATTGTCCTCGTCTTTGTCGCCATATTTATTACGTTTCAGCCTTTCAGTATCTGTCTATATTTCTGAGATGAGGTATTATGTACATTATTTACATTATTCTGGCTATTGTCCTCATCTTTGTCGCCATATTTATTACAACATTTCGGCCTTTCAGTATCTGTCTATATTTCTGAGATGAGGTATTATGTACATTATTTACATTATTCGGACTATTGTCCTCATCTATGTCGACATATTTATTACAACGTTTCGGCCTTTCTGTATCTGTCTATATTTCTGAGATGAGGTATTATGTACACTATTTACATTATTCGGACTATTGTCCTCATGTTTGTCGCCATATTTATTACAACGTTTTGACCTTTCAGTATCTTTCAGTGAGATGATATTATGTACACTATTTACATTTCTGAGATGTCCTCATCTTTGTTGCCATATCTAATATTAACGTAAAAACATTTTCAGTATCTGTCTATATTGAGATGAGAATATTATGTACACTATTTACATTATTCGGACTATTTCCTCATCTTTTGTCGCCATATTTATTTCAACGTTTCGGCCTTTCAGTATCTGTCTATATTTCTGAGATGAGGTATTATGTACATTATTTACATTATTCTGTCTATTGTCCTGAATCATGTTTGTCGCCATATTTTTACAACGTTTTTTACTTTTCAGTATCTGTCTATATTTCTGAGATGAGGTATTATGTACATTATTTACATTATTCTGGCTATTGTCCTCATGTTTGTCGCCATATTTATTACAACGTTTGGCTTTTCAGTATCTGTCTATATTTCTGAGATGAGGTATTATGTACATTATTTACATTATTCTGGCTATTGTCCTCATGTAAATGCCATATTTATTACAACGTTTGGCCTTTCAGTATCTGTCTATATTTCTGAGATGAGATATTATGTACATTATTTACATTATTGGGACTATTGTCCTCATCTTTGTTGTCATATTTATTACAACGTTTTGCCTTTCAGTATCTCCGGCCTTCTTCATTGGTTGGAATGTCGAACTGAACCCTTTATTTTTGCTCACTGGTTGAATACACTGACTGTTCTAGTTCCATGTGCCATGTTTAATGGATGTCAGTTATCTCCTGTTAATTTCCTTCTGAGAAAGAGGGTGAGTTCAATACCCGGTTAAGGCAGTGGAGAACTTTCAGAGGGAAATTAACAGGAGATAACTGATAACTGACATCCATTAAACATGGCATTGTGGAACTAGAACAGTCTAACCCAGTGAGTGAAATAAAGGGTTAAGTTCAACATTCCAACCATCTGAAAAAGGCCGGAGCGTACAACAGCCGAAACATTGTAATAAATATGGTGACAAAGATGAAGACAATAGTCCGAATAATGTAAATAATGTACAGGTGTAATGTAAATGCATTAGGTATTTTACTAGAGAAATGCATTGAAAATCAAAAAGAAAGGGATTGTCGGTGGTTAGGAATTAATGCAAGTATTATTGGTACATTCAATATGTTATATGTAATATACTGATTTAACTGTATAGTAAAGTTGGAGGACGACGATGTCAATTTTGTCAAGTCTTTCTCTCTTGTTGTTTGACTTCTTCCTTTTCTCTTCTGATGGCTTTAAAGTTAATTCTGTGTAAGAATTAGTCTACATAGTTATCAATGGCATCTTCATGAAGGAAAAAATGGAGGGTGACAGCTTTATCTCATATCCAAGAATATACTGATTTACTTAACTAAGCTGAGTAAGGCTCAAGACCACAACTTGTCATCCAGTTAAGATTGAATTCACTGCAAGAGGAATGCCCTGTGTTTTACTCACTAGCAACCGCTTCATTGCAAAGTACAACCATTATTCACTGAGGTTAAATCACCCTGGCACAAGGCTAGAGTAATGAGGCATCAATCTGTATAAAAGTTGTTACACAACAGAATTGGGCTATACGATATATTTTGTATTTAATCACCTTAGTCACATATTGGCTGAGTTTAGCTTTGCCTGATACATGGCAAAAAGTTTATTCCATGTTGCGAGAGTCACTCTCACTACCCAGTGTTTATGGTTGGCTGGATTATTTTGTGAATTACTTATCCATGATAATGTTTGCAAACTTGGTAGAGTCTAAGAAAAACAAGCCAATAATGAAGTACTCAGTGTTGCTGCCAAATTGAGCTTCATTTGATTTGGCCAGCTTTTGACTTTGAAACCACAGATATTAACCCCCCCACACACACACGCACATGTACGCACATATATATATATATATATATATATATATATATATATATATATATATATATATAGGAATGTGTGTGTAATGAAGGTTATATATAACTGTGTGTGTGTAAATATATGATGATGGTTATATGTATGAGTATATGATGATGGTTTTATATATATATATATATATATATATATATATATATATATATGATGGTTGTGTGAACGATATTATATATGCATGTGTTGATGATGGTTTTATATATATATATAGGCATATAGGCAGTAATCCCTCATTTATACATGTTTCATTAAAGACGACGAACAAGGTACTATGATTAAGCTTTTTATTTAATTTTTCTTGTGTTCGAACAAGTATTTTCTTTTCTGGATACAGAATGTGTAGAAACAGTCCAAATGTTCTGTAATTCCGAGCGCTTTCAGCTATACTTTTAGCCATTATCAATGATGATTTTATTTTCACTTTTTAACTCTATGTATGGGTTGTGTGTATATTTCTAGAGTTATAGGGATGTTTTATCTTTCGAACGCAGCACATTGTGGCCGTGTTTGTAATTAATATTATCGAGTGTCGACTTTTTCTTTTTTATTATTAAGGCTTCCATTATTTTTAATCTTTTTTTACATGTGGATGAGGTTATTATGTTTGTATTTTCTACTAATATCTTTCGGATGGAGTCTGGTTAATTTGTGTGTGTGTTTTTAAATGGGTTCTGATGAACATGTGGTTGAATAGGTGTAACATAAGGCATCTAGATAGGCATGTAGTAGTGTGACCGATGTAATTATTTATGATTTATTGATCAGGAACACAGTTCCTTAAGAGGCATTTGAATTCATAAATAATGTTTGTTATTTGTAGTTTTGATTTTGCAGGTGTGTTATTATGTTTTAGGATAAGATTAGCTGTTTTAAATAGTAGATAATTTAATTTGTTTGTTTGGCTTAAATGGGGTAGTGTATTTTTTGTGATATTTCTAAGTAAAGATTCATTGCATATGTATATGATGATGGTTTTATATATATATATATATATATATATGTGTGTGTGTGTAATGGTTTTATATATATTAAGAAATGGACAAAGTCCGACAATTTATTTATTAAAGACATTTTTATGTTTAACATTCTTTTTATAGATACAAGTATTTAAGTAAATGCTCTGTTTATAATAAACAGTATTAAATAACATTTACAAGCTTGAATGTCCAAGAAATTTTCATAGAAAATATTCGTCCTTTGACAGGATTCGAACCTGCATCCTATACGGAACCGTCATTTACGCTGACGTGCCTTGACAATTTCGGCCACAAAGGATCGTTCGGTTGGCAAGGTTGAATTTACTGCTTATAAACTTCAATCTTCCATGAATCTCGTACATTCATAACTGCTCATGGCGTATCAAATGTAAACAAATGACGTCATATATTAAGAAATGGACAAAGTCCGACAATTTATTTATTAAAGACATTTTTATGTTTAAATTCTTTTTTTAGATACAAGTATTTAAGTAAATGCTCTGTTTATAATAAACATATTGTTTATTTATTTATATGTCAAAATTTTTTAAAAAAATTTTTAACAAATTAGAACCGGTAAATGTGGAACCGTCATCTATGCTGGCGTGCCTTACGAGTGGCCACAAAATAATTAATCAAAATATTTGTTTTCAATGACATGATATTCGAAAAAAAAATTATCCTATATAAATAAATGCGTCATATTTAGAAAATATTTTGATACAGAAACTTTAATTAAAAACATTTTATGTTTAACGTTCTTTTATAGATACAATATTTATAAATGCTCTTTTATAATAAACAGTATTAAATAACATTTATACATGGCCTGAATGTGAAATTTTCATGTGTATTAATTTTTATTATGACCCATCCTATAAAGAATCAAAGGATGAATATTTTTAAACAAAATTTGATTTTTTGAACCACATATATATATATATATATTTATAATTAATATGACTTGCTTAAAAAATGAATTAAAAGATATGCAATTAATTAGCGGAAAATATTACATGATAAATATCAGTTTTTGGATATATTTTTTATGATATGATTCAACAAACAATTTCATGCTTTTGCTAAATCATCAGACAATGTCTGATGATCACAAAAATCATGAAATTCAGGGAATACAAATATAAGTCTTCTTTTAATATATATATTAATGATGATGGTTAAATAACCTCGAATTTTGCATAAAATATACACACAAATATAATCATTATTGAACACATACAAATATATATTTATCTGTGTGTATGATGATGAATTTATATATATATATATATATATATATATATATATATATATATATATATATATATGTTTGATAGGTGTATGGAGAGTTGTTTATGAACTTAACTTTCACAATCTTCAGACAATTTGATTTTTTTTTTTCAAAAGTGGATCTGTTTATGCTTTATTTGTGTTTGATTAATTGTGTGTGTTGGGAAGGGGGCTATTTTCTTCTGTGTTTGTTTGGGATGACACTCACATATACATTGAAACATATACAAACAGATATATACGTGTTCATACATACATACATGCATGCCTGTATTCATAATCTTGGGTTAGGCACAGTTACACATTCATATGCTTGAGCACACATATGTACACAATTTTCATTCTCTCTATTTCGATGTCAAGATTGTAGCATTTCATATGTAGCAATGATCTCTTAGCATGGGACAGATGGGGGCAGCTTTGATGTTTTTCAGGTTGGCTGTTTGCCCCGGCAGACATGCACACAATCACACATATGTAGACACACACCCACATTCATTGATTTGGGTCTATTACCACCACATGTGTTAAGTTGGCTTCTGTCTGTAGACATGGTGATGGTGTTTGTATTTTTTTGACAACAATAACTGCATCTGTGTTATTAATGATTGTAATTATGTTAATATTAGCTGGCATATTGTTATATTGATAATAATTGATATGTTATTAGTTATGATGAACAATAAAGTTATCCATAACAATGATGGAAATAACAATAATAATGATAAATAATAAGTAAATAAAAAATAAATAATAAAATAATAGAAAGATAATAATGACAATGATAATAATAAAAATAGTTGTGGTAATCACGATAATGATAATAAAAATTATAATGACAATGATAAAAAAAACAGTACTAATGGTGGTAGTGATGGTTATAATGGTTCTATAAGTGGTAATAATTACTAATAATGATAGTAATATTACTAGTCACAAAATAACAATTTTGGAGTGTTAATGGTTATATCTGTCATGATGGCCATGCTAATAGTTATGGCAGTGGTTGTGTTTGTAGGGGTGGGGGTGGTGGTATTGTTGGTAACAGAGCTGGTAGCATTATTGTTTCATGTTGGTGGTTATGTTTTGGTGGTTCTAGTGTACTGGTAGTTTAGTTTTCTATCATTTTTTTGGTAGGTTTGTTCTTGTTTGTGTGCAGTTTTTCTTGTTGGTGTTATCCATTTGGTTTGACCTATTATAGTAGATATTTGTTTTTATGTCTACATTTTGGCATTATTTCTGATATTTGCTTTAGTAATGGTTTTTTTCTTGTGTGTGAGTGATTATTGCCGCTTTTTTTTTTTTTTTTTTTTTTTTGAGTGTATGTATGTGTAACTGCAGCTAACCCAAGATAATGAATGTGGGTGTGTATGTATGAACTAATATGTATATGTCTGTATGTATGTATGTGTGCCCATATATATGCGAGTGTCATCCCAAACAAATATAGAAGAAAATTGTCTCCCTCCCACCACACACAAATAATCAAACACAAATAAAAATAAAGCATAAATAGATCCACTTTTGAAAAAATAAACCAGTTTGTCTGAAGATCGTGAAAGCATGAAACCTAAGGTCACAAGCAACTCTAACTCTATATGCAACTGCATATATATATATATATATATGTGTGTGTGTGTGTGTGTGTGTGTGATAATCTGCAAAACTGAAGAAGGTAATGTTTGCAAGTGTGATGGGATGATTATGGTATTATTCAATTAGAGTTCTTAAAATGAAGTGAAGCACGAAATGGACATTTATACATTTAGGAGCTGTAACATGTCCATGAAAGTTTGGTTGAAAAACACCCTGTGCTTATCAACAGCAAAAATGTTGCTCTTCATGACAATGCAAGGTTGCATTCAGCAAGAATAATGCAGATAAAATTTTGGCACTCTTTTTTCTTCTGTTCTACGACACCCACTATATTCCTCTGATCTTGCACCAACTGATTATCTTTCTTGATCACCACAAAATACTTTGATGGAGTAAGCTTTCTCTCTAACAAAAACTAAATTAAAGAGTTCAAAAACTTTTTCACTTCAAAAACTGCAGAAATTTACTCAAAAGGCATCGAAGAGCCACTTACAGAGCGGCAAAAAGTCACTGCAAATTATGATGAATATATAATTGAATAAAATGCAATATCTTCATGCTTGTAATAAAACAGTATATTGAAAGGATGGTTTTTTCCCTTGACACCACTATTATTTTAACTACCTTCACTCCTTGGCAATGTTTATTGTTTTAAGAAGCAAAGATTAGAATTTTATGTAAAGTCCAAACATATGAAAGTGAATTTATGTATTTTCTTTGTTCTTTGAGAATTTACAGCAAAAATATTAAACACTATTTATTAGATTGTTTATTTACAAGAATAAATTTATATTTTCAACATTCTAAAAATGAGAGCCTTAAAAATGTGAGCCAACCAATGCAATGTTTATCATTTATCAATTTATAAAGAAATAAACATTTGTTTTATAATTCATTCATATTTTTATAAAATTATGAATAAAAAAACTTGTTTTCATAGTTATTTAAAAATGGTAAATAATAAATATCATATTGTACTTGGTTCAGATATTTTTATAATCTTTTAAATAAACGTCGTTGAAGGAGTGGAGTTAATACAAAATAGTAGTGGTGTCAAGGGAAAAAAATGTCCTTTGACACACCATTAAATTTTTGCTGTAAACAAAAACGGAAATTATTTATGACTCAACCTAATAGGACATTTGCAGAAAAGTGATTTCAGTAGCCATAATAAAGATGTGAATTTTGTTCTTTACTTTCACTTGGAATTTTAATTGGTCAAAAACAAAGTACTTTATGTGAATGAGGATCGCACCATTTCCTGTTGAGGCATTTGTCAAATAACTAACATGAGTAGACCATTCCAAAGAATCTTGAGAATAAATTGATTCTGAAAAGGCAGCCTTCAGTTCATAACAAGTGCAAAATTAGCTTTTCAAATATTCCTTTATTAACTGAAAATCTTTCTTAGACACTTGAACTGATTTTGACCAAGCTTCTTAGAATCTAGAATTGCCCAATTTATTAAGTCCTTTGTCTGTGAACTCATCCACAATGAAAATTAAAAAATCAAAGGAATTCGGATTGATAGACTTGGAGGGATTTTTTGGATGGGGAGTGGGGTGAAAAGAACCCCTTCTCCCCTCTGATCTTTTTTAAGAAATTCTTTTGCTCCTTTTCTTCATTATTTTTAGTTGACTGGCTCATTTTTTATATTTTCATTTGATTTTTTTTTTATCAAGCTTTGCAGGTTATTAAAAGCCAGAAGATATTTTTAGATTGTAAAAAGTTTTTCATTTTTTGAGATAATAATGGTATAATGATACAAGTCCTATTAATTAACCCATAGCTGGGGGAGAAGAGATAGATTTGTACCTTTCCCAAGGGTATTTGCATATACGTGAATATAACGAATCCAATTGTAATTGGAACTCAGCTCTCCAATTAACAATTCCAAGCCACTATCCATTACACTGCCCACACACATCCAAGCTTACAGCACCTGGTATTCCCAAGGGGTCACCCGTCTAGGTACTGACTAGACTTGGCATTGCTTAGTTTTGGTGATCATATGGGAACTGGTGTTTCAACATGATGTGGACATAAGCCTTCTTCATTATTGTTTCTTGATAAGATTTATTTAACTTTGACAATCATGGGACTCATAACCCATGAGGGTTACTGGAGCACCACATGTACTGCAGTTGCAGTCACAGTAGTATTTCCTGGGTAAGGCTGGTTTTGAATTCAGTATACCCTTCTCCTAGACTGGTGTCCACCCAAGGCTATATGACCCAGACTGAAGAAATGGATGCACACCTTTCCCCAAAGGTATCAGCATGTAAGTGAATGTAATAAACTTGACTGGAACTTGAACTCAGATCTCTAATTCTTCAATCTGAGCCACTATCTATTACTCCACTGTGCCTCCATCGGATTGTGATTTTACATTTTCTTATTCATTTAGGTACCAACTGTTTCCTTCCTACACTAAACAACTTTGTTCAGACATTATTACAATTAATGAGAAAAACTTTGCAAATAATTTAGTTAATAATAAACGTATTAAAAATAAATTAATATATTTTTTTTTTTATTAGTTGACATCATTGTTGGGAAGAATTTGATTGAGGATGATTAGAGTTTGATTAGTTTTTAAATCACCATAATATGTGTCTTATATGTGAATTGGGATCAGATATGGATTAGAATCTGATAGGATGAGGAAAAAAAATAGGAAAATGGTTATAATTTTAACACGTTTCACCAAAAATACAAAATGGAGGAAAAAAGATTGATATTTTATTTTTTATTTTTATATTGTTTGTTTCTCATTGGTTAAGCAGACTTTGCATAATAAAAAATAGTGCTCTCTCACTCTCATGTGATATTAATAATAATAATAATGATGATGATGAGAAAAAATTTCATAAATAATATAGGTAATAATAATCACATTGAAAATAAATTAATATAGCTTTTTATTGAATTGGTTGACATCATTAATGATATGTTTGATAAGTAGTAGCACAGGCAATGGTAATTGATTTAGAATTCGTGGAATTTGGGCCTTAAACAGCCCTAATATAATTACCAACCCCCTTTTAACTTCTAAGTATTTATCAACCCACTGGATAATGCCATTGCGTTAAAGCATTGGTTCATGAATTTGGTGACATAGTAATTGTGAGTTCAATCTCTGGGCTGGGCAGTGTGCACTTAGACTCAGCTGAAATGGTAACTGTGCAATACTAAAGGAAGAACTAGATGAGATATATACCTACCTGTATGGGCTGTGAAATGAGAACAAGCAGCAGCACTGATCAGCAGATTTACAATTGTAATTTCTTTTTTAATCATTCCAAGGCAATAAAGCCACAAGGACACTAGGGGTTAGTGAGTACTAAAGAATATGAGAAAAACTACTATTAAGGAGAGAGTATAATAAAAGAACAAATATTAAGAAGACAGAAGATAATGATTGACATTGATTTAATTGGTTGTACAGCTACTAGCATGCAAGGGGTTACAGGGTGTGGAGGAATTAGGAACGCAAACATTAGTAATGAGGAGAAAGAGAAAAAGCAATGAGGAGGACAGAAGATAACGATCGGCATTGCATTGAAATTTTTGCAGATTAATGTTGCTGGAAAGCATGGAGCTGGGAGGGAAGGAGTCCCCAAGTGAGGAGTGCGAGAAAAGAAACTGTTAGCATAGAAGATATGGCTACATTTAGCTAGCTCAACTGTAAATTGATGAGATCTCGCCACTAATCTAGTATTGTGCTTAAATTTATACAGTCTAGGTACCATAGCGAAGGGCTCATCCAAACAATTAGCATGAAAGTATTTATAAAAAAGGCACAGAGAGGCAACCTTACGGCGGTGAGCAAGTGACTGAAGCCAAGCTGATCAGGACCAATAATATGGCTGATTCTTGTTTGGATCATATCAATGAGCTTCAGGTAAATAGCAGGGGCACTGGAACATATATAGCAGCAATATTCTAAGCATGGACAAATGGTAGACTTATAGATATGCAAGATAGATTCCAGAAAACCAACTTTCTTAGTAGCTGATTTAGCAATGGATTCAATGTTGTCTTTCCACTTTATGTCAGCTGAGAACATTAACCTTAGAAGGCTCAATGAGTCACTTTCTTGGAGGAAAGCATCAGCCATGGTGATAGAAGGCAGAGAGGGGTTCTCTCAGATGATTAATAGAGAGAAGTTTAGTTTTGGGAGCATTAAAATTGAGAAGCCATTTTTTGCCCCAGTTAACAATGGTCTTGCGGTCATTTTGTACATCAGCTGCTATTTTGACATTGTCTGACTGATCAGCCTTACTATTGAGGCAGGAGTAAATGGTAGTGTCATCAGCATAGATGCCAAGTTGAGAGCTGCTGTCATTGGGAAGGTCATTATTGAAAATTAAAAATGGTGTAGGTCCAAGGATGGAACCCTGGTGGACACTCGTGTGAGTACAAAATGATGTAGACGTGTAGCCGTTCAGGACAACTTTTATTTCGTGATTTGATAGTGTTCTTACAGTATAATGAACTCTTCCTTCTCTCATAAATACAAACTGCAAGAGTTAGATACCAGGGTTCTGAACAGTAGACACAGTGCTAATCTACTTATTACTAACACTATTATTTTGTATATATCTTCAATATACTTTTTTTAACCTACCTTCAACTTCCGTGTCTTTCTTTCTGACCCCTAAACAGGCCACAACAGATAAGAATGACAGGATCAGCTCAAAAATGTGCCCAGATATATTGTAACCTTTCAGCTTGTGAAGAAGACCTGAATGCCAGACTCTGTCAAAGGCTTTCGAGATGTCCAATGCTTCATCTTGGGCTTCACTGTTTTTATCTAAATCACTGTTTCTACAATTATCATTAGTACATCAGCAGTGGATCTGGAGAAATGAAAGCTGTATTGCTTGTCTGAGAAAAGGCCCAGTGATGAGAGATGAACTAATTTAGCATTGATTCTAGGACTTTCCCAAAAAGAGGCAGAAGGCCGATAGTTGAATGGGTCAGACAGCTCACCAGAGTTCTTAAAAACTGGAACAACGGATGATGACTTCCTGAAAGCAAGAGGCTGCGAGGCATTTATTATACAGTTTAGAGAGAACAGGAGCTAGTTCAAGAGAACACTTCTTAATGACTATCACAGGGATGCCATCAGGTCCACATGCTTTGTGAGGATCAAGGTTAGAGATGATAGTAGAAATTATAGAAGGAGTTATATCAATGATTTCCCATATGGGGCATGGTAATATTTTGGCAAGGCATGCATAGGATGTGCACCCTTCGGCTTACTATACCAACAAAACAAGTGGGCAATTTGAGAATGAGTTATTAACAGTTGATTGTTTTCTAGTGAGCTCAAATTTAATTTTAAATTATTATTTCATGATTAAAAGAAATTTAGAAATACCAAAGTGGGGTGTGTTCCAAAATCAGTTGGGAACTACTGGGTTATATGTATATCACTTAACAGAGAATCAGTTCTAAGTGAGAAGTTAAGCAGATATACTCCAGATGAGTCAAGAGTAGAGTTTGAGGAGAATTTACAGGCAAAGCATTTGGCTTTATCAGCAAAGGATGATAACACCTAAAATTAATTGAAGAGGGTAGGGAATAAAGACCTTGCACTTATTAAGGACCCTCTTACAGTGATGCCAGTAGTCACAAGAGCCAAAGTTTTTAGAGGCTATGTGGTGCTTCATTCTCTCAGCAATCAGGGACTTAGCTTCTTTGAGGACTCACTTACATTTGTTATGAGTATTAGCAAATAGGCACCTGTTGAGGAGAACTGTTACACTGGTTATAGCCAGAAATAGTGGTTCCTGTTAGTTATGGTGGTCAAGCATACTGGTGTAGATTGCAGTTTCACTTGGTATTTCTAAAAAGAGATGAAAACAGCCATGCTGGCTATGACCCAAGAAGAAACCTCAGTAGGACAATTTTCAGTTGGGAGGTTGACGGTGTCAGTCCAAGAGGAGTCACAGAGAAAATCCCAGAATGAGTCCCAATCAGCATGCTGGTAACGGAAAGAGGTCTTATGGATAGGGAGTTCCTGTTTAATGGATGCTTGGAAGGAGATATCAATAGCTACCACAGAGTGGTCTTCGTTACCAAGAGTGCAGTATTGTGACACTCGGCAAGAGCATGGAGAAAAGCTAAGAAATAGATTCAATAGGGAAGCATATTGCTTGGTTTGGCTCAGGAAACAAGTAGGGAAGGCCACGATTTGAGTGAAGGATTGGTCAGTGGAAAAATTTAATGTCTGTATACTGGCAACATCAGTTCCTTTAGAATGTTTCAGCCATATATCATGGTGATTATTAAAGTCACTGAAGACAAATATATTTGCAGAAGGATGGAGAGAAAGTTCCTTTACTATACTGTCAACTATTGAATCTAATTTACTGCAGTCTTGGGAAGAGGAGGAGCGATAAAGGAAAAAGAGATAGCTGACAGAGTTTAGTAGTAAAAGACAAAAACACAAGAAAGAGTAGTCACTGGCCTCAAGAAACAATTCTCTGGATGTAAACACCAAGACCATGCATTTAAATGCTGGCATCTTTTCAGCAAAGGGGAAAATACCCTGAAACCAAGAATTCATTAGCAATGGAAGAATTCAAGTTAGTTCCACAGAGGGCAAATATATCTGGCAACTTTTCCAGGAGAAAATATTCTAAACTGCAGAAGCTGGAATGAATACCATGAATATTGGAGAAGTAAAGATTGAGGGTGGGGGTAGATGGTTTTTTTTTTTTTTTTTTAGCTGGTTTAGTTTTATTTCTTTTTTGTTGTGATTTCCATGAGATATGTTTTGAGGAGAGAGAAAAAGAAACACCATAATTGTCACTATCGGTTATCAATGGCAATACAAACCAGCCAGCATGTAGTTGAGAGCAGAGCATAAGATAGCCTCGGGGTTGCCCACCAGAAATACTTGCAGGGACACTTACCTATGTGTGACATGGTGTAACTAGCATGAGTGGAAGCGTCCTTGAACTGCGTGTGTTTTCGCCAGGCACACCTTGCAGTACCATAATGGACTCGACCGAGGACTACAAGAAGAAGACG